GAACATGTGAATGTCACATGCCGGTGGAACATGTAAATGTCACGTGCCGGTGGAACATATGAATGTCACATGCCGGTGGATCATGTAAATGTCACGTGCTTGTGGAACATGTAAATGTGTCTCTTCTGTGTCCTCCGTGCAGCTGGACGGACGGTCAGATGGCGCAGCAGAGTCCAGAGAGAAGCTTCTGGAGTTCTGTTTTGATTACTGCTTCTGGTCCGTGGACCCCGCAGACCCTCAGCATGCATCACAGGAGGAGGTAACGGCCCAACTCACCCTTCACACCAACCACCCACTACGTGCACGTCCTAGGGGTTGAACAGACCAGTCTATTGTAGGACACTCGTGAGTTTTAAATTTCCCGTGGACTCGTCACAGTCAGTGATTGTGTCACGTGATCAGCGCTGGCTGCCCACGGAGAGGAGCAGGACAAGTGTTCACAGACTGGTAGAAAGAAGTATTTCACTAAAACTGATGCTGTTTTTAGTTTTATTTTATTTAATCTACAAAATAAAATAAAATGAAAACGGGGGGTGCACCACCCCAGTGGAGAATCCACCACCGCCGCGGTGGTTTATTTAATTTAGTGGATGAAAAAAAAAAAACGAACTTTTGCTGCTTAATAATAGTTTTGGTTTTCCTGTGACTTATCTGCAGTTTGATAAACGGTAAATTTACGCTCCCGATGTTTTGTTTTATTTTTGTAAATAATAAATTATGTTATTTTGTGAATAACGTCTTGAGTTTCTATGACGTCACAGCGACTCGTCGATTTTGATCACGTTGAAGTCGACTTTAAAAAATACGAAGTCGTTCAACCCCTGGCCCGTGCTCACTTTAGAGTAACTGTTTCAATGTTTTTGTCTTGCTGAGGTTCTACAAATATCCAGAGTTTCTAGCTTTATCTAAGAGGGAGGGGCGCCCTGCACCCACAGCACCCCCACCCCCCCCGAATGTCATGGCATGTAATAAATTAATGCACGTCTGTGCATGTTTGCACATGACCAAATCACTCCAGCTGGTAGAGATGCTAAAGCTAATAG